TCAAATGGTTTGATATAGAGCTTACTGTGCTGTCAACTATACAATTTACCCGTTTCTTAAAAGGAGCATAGACTAATTGGAGGAGGAGGAAAAAAAAGAAGAAAAAAAAAAAGAGAGAAATAAAAGCGCAGAGACATTGTGCCTGGAGGACAAGCGATAATATTCACTGAATAGACATTTGTTAGAATTCCAGAAGAGCAGGAAAAGGCAGATAGTGCATAAAAGGTTCTCTTTTTCCATTTCTTTCATTTTTTAACTTAAAATCAAGCTGCATTAAATACAGGCTGTTTGTACAGGACAATTGCACTTCACAAAAACAGAAATATACAAATACACACAAGGAAATGTGAATCAAATTAATTACAGCAAAAACAAAAAAAAAAACAGAAAGGAAAAAAAAAAGGTGGGGGGAATCTTACTACTTAAGCCGATTATTTAACAAAATGGAAGAAAACTTTGTGGACTCACTTGTTATGGACTACTTTAGAGGAGAATATTTAGGTGGGTGAACATAAAGGAGAGACAAGACAGCGGGGATCCTGAACTCCAGAGTGGACCGGTGCTGCACTGTTCCAGGTTTGTGTGCATGCATCTCCTCTTCCTCCTCCGCCTCCCATGAAATTCCCTTCTTAGAAACCAAAAGCTCAGAGTGACGGAGAGTGACTGCTGAGCTGAGCTGCTGTGGGTCTTGAGAGGATGGTGGTTTGTAAACTCTATGCTGTGTTAGTGGTAGGAGGTTGTGTTACCACATGTCGTCTGTGGATGCAGAGTCCTTGATAAGAGAGGAGAGGACGGAAAAACCCTTCAGACTCTGGCTTTACATCCATCAGAACTCCATAAGACCAAGAGTGCATAGAGATATGTAAAAATTGATGCCAATATAATTACAGTGAAATAAAAGATATGTAAAAAGTATCAAGTACATAAAATAACAATATAAAATCTTCACAGAAAATTCATTACTGATATGGCTGACAAGTGTCATATGTGATTTTGGTTTATAAGGCCAGCTTGTTGTCCTGTTGTTGTTATGCCTCAAGTTAAACTTCAACTGAGGAAGATTCACTTTACAACATCACAATACTGATGCAAAATATGGAACTTCTAAGAATCCTAATCAAAGTTTAAAACTAATCTAAAATCAAAGCTAGGACTTCATTTATGAATGTCTTCTTCGCTAATGGAAGTAACATCTGCCAAATTTAGTGAGCAACACTGCCATTAAACGAATCTCAATCATGAAAGATGATAAGCTCTAATGTTAGTTTCTACTCTGCTGGTTTTCCCATTTATCACAGATGATGGCTATAGTGTAGCCTTCCACATTTTATACCACTAGCTCCATTTCTTATTTGCGATATGATTAAAACATTCTTCCACTATGCATTCATACAATATACTTTTGTCCCCCTTGCAGTATGTATGTGAGTGGCGTGGGCTGCAGCATTGCGCAATACACACAAGCCGCTGCGCTGCACCACATAATGAGTGCAACAAGTGTGGAAAGCTCTATGCATCTAAGATAAGAAACAAGGGCAGTCTGCTAAAACATCTACTGAAAGTACATAAGATACGAACGAAACACAGCACACTGACCTGTGAGGATCAAAGTGTTTTGTAATGTAAAATGGGTTTGACATCCCTTAACTAAAGTGGGCCAGACCAGTGAAACTCCTCTTTCTATCAGTATAACAACATGTAACGCATTTAATCCCTGAGAAGTCTTAATATGAGGAAAAGAAGCGCACCTTCAACAGTAAGCTTCAGTTTTGCTACATAACAAATGTGTAAAATTACAGAAAAATGTATGCTAGCTCAGTGCCTAGACAGGAGATATTTCTACAGTAGGTAGTGAAAAGCAAATACTTTTCTGTCATTTAATTGTTTATCTATTACTTTGACAGAAAAGGCTTTAAAACTTATGAAAATACACTTGAGTTTAAAATCGATGCACTCCTTCACACTTTTCAAAAAAATCTCATTCAGTGGGTCAGATTAGAGACCATCTGGGCCCTATGTTTTGACACCCCTACTCTAGTGCCTAGTGTACTCTAGTGTGCCTGTGTTTTGATTGCCCAATTGTATGGTTCAAATGTTTTCACTAAAATTAGTTAGAGCAACGGTCCCAAACCTTTTTTGCGCCACGGACCGGTTAGTGCCCGACACTATTTTCATGGACCGGCCTTTAAGGTGTCGCGGAAAAATATAACAAAATAAAACTAGTAACGGTACCGAAAAAAAGAAGATTTATTCATAACACACGTGAAAAGACCCAGGAAAACTTAGTTAAAAGATAAAAACGATAACAAAGTAACGCTGAAAACTGATAAAAACCCTGAAAAGCATACATTTCACACCTGAGCCTCAACTCTCGCGGCCCGGAACCAAACGACTCACGGACTGGAACCTGTACCGGGGGTTGGGGACCGCTGAGTTAGAGTACAGGTAAAGTACTTGGTCACAATACCAATAAGAGTACCATTAAAATATTTATCTATTCACATGTCTGATATTGCAATATTTTAAGTAATCTACTACGAAAAACTAGAGTACTGCATTGCAGTTATGAAGCAGTCTGCCACTTCATAGATGAGTTTGTGTTGTTCCTAAACGCTCGCACTTTTTAATAATACGACTAATAGTTGATCGTGAATTATATAAGTAGGAAGAAGTTTCACAAACTGACTTGTTGTAACAATGTCATTCAGTACTACATTTGAATATAATGAGCTCTTCAGAACGATCCATTAGGTTTTGCAAGGTCAAAGGGACCTTGAACTTTGAAAAAATCTAAATGTTTTTCTTTCACTTCAAGAGAAATCTGACCAAGTTCCTACAGGGGGGAAAAATATGTACAATACACACACTTTTGTTTATAACATGTAGAGATTTGATTTTTCTTTAAACTTTTATTTTTAAATGTTTAAACTTAAGGGTTAATTATTAGATCTTACACATTTCTTTATTGATATGATGCACTGAGAATATATTGTGACTACTGTATTAAATAAGTCTGTTATGCCGTTATATTTTTGTCAATATTACTAATGGCGGCTTTCTGATATGGATTTATCTTAGCAAAACCACACAAAATTGGGTAATTATGTGAGCCATACAGAAATTTTTCTGAAAACGAGAAAAATGCCTCGAGGATGCCAAAAGCAGTACAAGATGTCTCAAATTAGATTTCCCCTGCTATTTAAAATGCCATTATTATTATTACTGTTAGTGTTTACAAAAATTACCCACATGATCTAGCTCTGACATATAGCTCGTCTGCCATCATCCTCCCTGCTGTGCACCACAATATAGTAATAATAAAAAATAAATGAATAAATAAAACAAGTGCAGATTTGGATTCAAAGAAACTAACAGCAGTAGTTAAATGCGATAATTTCGTATCCGGATACAGTCATTAGCATTACAATAGAACATAGCTACCA